TCTGGGAAGGGGTGGCCGCTGTGGGTCGGGCAAGTCAACAGCGGGCCTCAAAGGATGCTTGCCTACCCCGCTGAAGGCTGCGTGAGGGCCAGGAGCATCTGGGGCGTGGAAGTGGGGTAGAAAGTGGGAAACAATATAGAAGGGGAGAGAAAATATAAACCTACATGCCATCATGAAGTTATGGAAGCCCAGCATTTCTGACAATGAACTTGTACATAATAAAAATGTATTTACACCAAGTCATCAAAGTATGGATCAGATTTTATAACAGGAGACTTTATTGGACAGGATCACAATAAGTACATTTTTCCCTGTGTTAACTACCAATTCTATCATAAAAATATATCACAATGTTTGATCTGTATTCACAAAACACAAGCCATTGTAAACAGAGCAGCCACCTTTGGCCTTGGGTTAAAAAATCTTGAGTTTCATTGCAACAGAGAAACAGCTATTGGAAAGTGTATTACATGAAAAATAATATTGCCACATTGGAAGGGCTTCAGGTTTTTTTTTTTTTAACAGAGCTGCATTTCTGTTTAATAAATTAGGAGAAAATAAAGTTAAAGCTACCATGTTAACAAATATTAGAGGATGCTAAAATTTTGCTTCATTTGTGTGCAAATGTATGTGTTTGTGAACATTAACCCATATCCTATTACTCATGGGCACACAGAGTCATGGGCACACATTTAATGGTTGCATTGCTCCAACATTAATACATTGATTTTCTTACGGGTCTTACATTAGAGACAGATACTGAACTGGAGCCAGTCATTTGCAGATCACTTTGTCCCTAGGAATGAAATTTTATCTTTTATTTTTCTAAATCCTTTCTTCCAAAAGTATTTTTAAAGTGTCCAAATATGAAGTACATTTTCATGTGGAATGCTAACCTAGCTGGCGTGTACCTTAGTTTTCTTTAATGTGAGCTCCCTTCTGTCATCTACTGGCCTGGTCTCTAGGTGCCCTAAGGCATGGGTGGTGTAAGTCTCCCCTCCCCACTTTGGAAGGACACCAAGAAGTAATGAAATCTATGAAAATTCAAGGAATGCAAAGAATTTGGCTTTGGTGTTCTTGGAGCTTCCAGGAGTTCTAAAGGGAGCATTTAGCCAGTCTCTTCTCATGTAAGGGCAGTGATGGTTCCCGCACTGGGCAAGGGGCAGGGTAACGCCTCTGTGTGGGGACAGGCGTGCTCTGTTAGGGAGGATGGATGGGGGTTCCTGACTTCCGCAAGACACCACGGCAGAGGCATAGATTTGTCCTCCTAAGAGCTGTCTCACCAAAATGGAAAATACAGTCAAATGGCAAGGGTTTGAATTTCTTCTCCCAAATGAGCTTAAGAAAATGAAGACAGGCCTATCCAATGTCCATAAAAATTCCCATGTGACAATGAAGGTAAGGCAGAGATTTTGATTTGTCCCTGGACTTCCAAGGCTGTTTGCGATCTGGAGTTAGCCAGATCTCCCCTGGGAAAACTCTGATGGGATTGGCAAGACACCTAAATGTCCTCCAAATGTTCCAGATGAGGATATATTTACAAGCTTGTTTTAGAACAGGATTGTTGAGGTTTGGAATGATTTCAGTTTGCAAGGGAACTTGACATTGGAAGGTTTTTACAGCATAGGTTTTGGTCACTAGTAATTAAACAAGGAAAAATTTGGTATTAAATGTCCTGAGTGCCAGGCAATGGCAGGGGTGGCCTTTGGAGGCTGTGTTTGGTATTTTAGTCAGGCGTGAGCCATCACTCTGATCTCGTCATTAGGAAACTGACTTGCTCAGATCAGTGGATCAATTGTGTGGTATTGTGTTGGCATCCGAAGCTCCCCCAAACACATTCCCTGTGGATCAAATGGGGTGTTACTGAGGCTGGGCCTTGATGTTGACGATCTGACTCTCACAATTTAAAGTGGGCTTCCTGCTTCTAAATATAGATTTTAGGTTCTTTGAGACAATCGAAACGTGGATGTTAGGTTCTATTAAACACGTGCAACAACTATTCTGTGCCAGGGAATAAGATACTGACTACAGAGTCCCTGGGCCTCCCGAGAAGAGACACAGGAAATGCCAAGAGTCGGCGCTCCTAAGCGCACATGCATCCTCCAGGTTGCACGCATAGTCTTTCGAGTCAACAACCTAAATTATTCTAAAGTCCTTACATATGGGTATACGTGATAAACTACAGCACTGCTAAGATTGATTCAATTCAGAATGTTTGACCTTTAAATGCTAGATACATATTTACATGACACACTGCATGAGCAAATTGTACAAGAAGACAAGAGTGGGTGGAAAGGAGTGTGGCTGGATTGCTACAGAGCACAAGGAGAACTTGCAAACGTGACTGTTTCTGTGGTGTGAATTCTTCCAGTTGCCCCGGGGGTACGTGGAAGTGCCCGTTAGGACCCTGCGCTGGTAGTGAACGTGTGTACTCTCTACCGAGGACATACCTTTGTTCCCACCCACGTTGTTTCCAGGGCATGTGCCATGTGGTTGGTGTCTGAAGAATGAATCATGGCCCCCCACCCCCCACTCACTGTAGAATGTAGACGCCCCTCAAAATAAATACCGTGTGTTCTGGCCCTTCCTTCCTTCCTTCCTTCCTTCCTTCCTTCTCTTTTTCTTTCTCCCTTCTTTTTTTCAGTAGCTAAATTTATGTGGATTTCTCCCCATGTTTTCTCTTTCTAAAAGTCATCTAATTTTGATTCTCGCAGGTTCAAGACTTGGACCATGTGTCATTGGCCTCGAATCATGTTTGCTGTCTCTCGGGAGGCATTTCCCCCTTTTCCCCACACTCACTTGATACAATTCCTGTGTTCCCTGAGCTCTAACCCCATCAGACTCCTCACCAGGCATGTTCACATCTCCTCTGGGTCCTGTCATATGCTCTTCCCCACTGTGAGTTCTGGCCCAAGGTCACCACCTCTAGGAAGCCTTCCAGAGTTATTCTTCCCAACCAAGGGCTTCAGCCTCCTTCTGCACCCCAGTGCTGTGCACACGCACACTCCTCTGGAGCAGCTCTCCCCCCTACACTTGAGAATAATTTCTTGTTCCCCCAGAGACTGACAGGGCGCAGGGCCCAGCTACAGAAGAGGCTCAGTAAATGTCTAAGGAGTTTTTACAGTATGTTTTCAGTTCTGGGCTGTAGCCTGCAGCTGTCACGTGCTGCTCTCTAAACTGCTCCAGGACCCTGCTTTTCTGGACCCTCCCCAAACCAGTGCTTCTGAGCAGTGAGGTGTGGGTCAGGCTCAGTGCCGCTGGGTGTCTGGTCACTTTGCTGCCTGCTGCAGGTTCCCTGGGAAGACGGATGATTCCACGCCTTAGGCCTCCTCCCTCCAAGACAGCTGATCCCCGGAAATGTGCTGCTCCTGCTTCCTTTCCTGCATCTGTAGGAGGCCTGAGGAGCCCTTTGACTTCATGGCTGTGTCCAAATTGGACAGGCAGCAGCAAGCCTGAGGCCCTGCATTGCTAGTCGGGTGACGCTGGGGACGACCCACTGGTACTGGCCTACCCTTCTGGAGGCCACTGCCCAGTTTTGTGTTGCCCCTCAAATTCTCTATCTGTGGCCCGGAGACCTACACATCGTCCCAGATCTCTAAGAAAGGGATATAATAGTACCTACATCGTAGGATAATTAGGAGGATTAGTGGGAACACTACCCCCAACACTCAGCATGGGACCTGGTGTCCAGTGCACACCAGCTGTGAGGACTGTTTTCCTTAGCAGGAGCTGCTCTTGGGGAGCTGGCAGGGTCACCATGCTAGACGAAGTGGGGAGCCAACAAGAGACCACAGCAGGGCCTGGCAGCCAGAACTGACCCCTCTGGCCCTGCCTCAGTCCGGCTCCACCCCTGGTGTGTGAGGCTAGGTGGGAAGGGGTGAGAGGAGCTGTGCTTAGGGTCAGAGGGGCCAGATGTCATCACCTCCCACAGCCAGGCTGCCTGGGCACGGTTCAAATTAAGACTAAGCCAGTGTCCCTCCGGGGCCTTCTTTGTGCCATGCTTCCTTCTGCCTAACAAAGCATCCTGGTTGTGGGCTGGCCAGTGCTGCCATCCCCTGCCAGCACCCCAATACCTCATGCTTACCACCTGGGAGCCCCATGGAAAGGAATGAGGCTGCTTTGTAAATGCCTTTGTAGGTGAGGGTGGGCAGCTTTGTGGTTCCACCATCGCCTTCTGAAAGCAGGTGCTTAGAACTGCACAGAGGGATCATTTGTGTCCCTCTGAAGACAAAATGACTCAGCCCTTGAATAAGGCTGACAATTGAAATGCAGAATATTTAGAAAGACCCATTTTTTTTCATGGAGTTTATCCAAGTGTCTAAGATCATTTCCCTCAGGGAGTAGTTTGAAGACCACCTGTAACAGTCACCTGGGCCCTGATGTTTGAAAATGTAGAATCCCAGGTCCTACCCAGACCTCCTTCAACTGATCTGTGAGGAGGGGGCACAGGACTCTGCATCGAAACAAGCTCCCTTGGTAATTCTTAGGGATAATAAAGTGCATTAAAAACTTCCATCTCAGATGCTTTAGACCTTTCGGAAAGGTAGCAGGAGCCCCAAATATATCCAGGGCCTCTCTCTGCCCTGTGGTGCTCATGGTCCAAAGGATATGAACTGATACAAGGCATTTCTGGCACTTGATACAATATCCTCATTAAAATCACAGGCAAATTAGTGTGTCCTGCATTTGAGTTACATTATAAAACTGCACAGCTTGCGATCCCGTCAAGGGTCACACCTTCTCTCATAAAGGAAGGCACCAGGAAAGAGAAAACTAATTTCACAAACAGGAGAGAGGTTTATTGCTCATGGTGACAGACGCCTGAGCTGACTACTCCTAGGGGGACGTACAGTTGGTGTGAGGTGACTCAAGCCAACCTCCCCTCCCCCCCCCACCGATTTCTAAGGAACAATCGGCGGGCTGTTAGTGAAACATCTTTTGGGATGTCAGCTGAGACCCACAAACTCCAAATGTTATGACACTCATCCAAGGTGCTGGTTCCTTAGCGGGTCCCAGGACTCTGAAACCCCCTCCTTCAGGAAGGAGCCAAAGGACAAGGTAGGGTCATTAAAGAGTGACTGGAAAAAGCGTCATGGGCTGGGTTTAAACCTACAAATTCTGATGGTGTAGGGCTAGCAACTGAGCCCTCTCTGTGCGTTTAGGAATTTGATGGCCCCTCCCTCCCAGTGCTTATTTTCAAGCTTCTTAAAGTGCCTTCACACCCAGTCCAGCTGCCCACCAGAGTTTGGGCCTTAAACATCAAGGCTTCCGACAGACTGCAGTCAAGTACGTAATCCCAGGCCCTTTGACATAGCTGCTGAGCTTGATGTTTCTAAATTTTACCTGAGAAAACTATGTTACGTTTGATAAATTAAATTACCAAATGAGGTAGGCAATTCACAAGGGAATAATGAAGCTGGGAAGATTTCATAGACTGTATACAGAGGAATGGAAACATTCATCTAAGGAAACTGTAGCAGAGGCATCGGTGGTGATCACTAATGCAGTGATTTTCTTCTCGCTTCTCCTTGGGTTTTCCTGCCCGTCTAAATAATAATGAAGACACCCAATTAACTGACTTATCTGGGGTTTTGTCTATGTGACACCAATACACCTGGTTTTACTGTGGTTTCCTTTTTTTCTAGCAGTCCTAGAGGCTTAGTGAAAACTATGAGATCTATCTTTTTAAGATCCATGGTGTTGTGGGTGACAAATCTTGTTTCTTTGCTAAAGGAGAGGTAAGAGAGATCTAGTCTCTTCTGGAAGTGTAAGATGTTGCCTGTACAGAAAGAGGATTTGACGAGGCATTCCTCCCAACTGACGTTGATGAAAACATTTTGCTGCTTGAATCTGGCTGTCTAATGACCTCACCCGCTAGGCCATCGCTCCTCTGTCGCCCAATTTCGAGAGTATTTCTGTGCAAAGGGAGATTGTCGGATTCAGTTGGGTATACTTTTTTGGTTCCACGCTTGTTTTCAACCTCACTGGTACTTCTGATGTTGGGACAATGGAGGGTGAACAGCTGCTTGTCACTAGGAATTTTAAGCGCCACAAAATTGAATGTCTGCTGCCATTCAAATTCGAGAGCCAAATGCACTCTGAATAGAGCAATTTTTCAGTAACATGCAAAGTCATGTGTGGGCAGTGGTACGCTGTTTAATAACCAGCTCTCAGTGCAGAAAAACACCTGATTTATATAGCCTTTGCTGATTTCTTTAGAGTAAATATTTCCATCATGGCTGGCTTCAAGCTGCCAACATCATGTCCCTAAATATGGAATTGGGAGGGTCCATGTCCCATTGTTCCCTCCAAGCAGGTGTGAGCTCACCTCCAATGTAATGGAAAGGTGTCAAGGCCCAGAAGCTACCTCTGTCTCTGTTCCAGTCTCCGTGGAGACCTTGAAACTAGGCAAGACTAGGTCAGGCTCAGTTATGTGCTTTCTAAGTGAGGAGTTAAGGTAGATAAGACAACATCTTTTCAAATAGACATGCACAGCACTTCTCTGTCTTTCAATACTGGGGCCTCTTGGCGGTGACAAGCAACAGGCTCTTCCTTGGTTGGTCCCTGTTGGACTATGTCCTCCCCTTTTCTCCTCCAAAGTTCGATGTATAGAGCAGAAGAAGAGAAGGAGCCGTCTGAGTCTGTTGCTGAGAAATAACTGAGAAATAACTGCTCTCAGCATTCACACATTAATTTGAGATGGTAAATGAAAACAGACAGGTGGAAAGCATGGTCCACTCACCTTGGTTTTTATTAAACCAAGAGAGTGGTTGCCAATGGGTTGGCATATATATTACAGTTAGGGTTTTCAATAAAAATTTCACTGCTCCTTCATTAGCACACAGAACTTTCTCAGTCACCTTGGAACCTTGGACAGACTTTCTTTTGATAGACTCAAAAAAACAGCATATTGAGCCAGTAGGGAAATGGAAATTAGTGCCTTAAAAATCAAGGCTAAAACCCTGCCCCGGTCAGTTCTTGTCCATGATCTCACAGGATGTGCTGGACAAAATGTGTGAGACAAGGTAAAATGCTTCCTGCAAATTCAGGTCACAAACCGGGTTGGGGACGCCAGCCAGACACCTTCCTCCTGCCTCTCCTTGGCTCCAACAGGTATGACATGGAAGTCACATGAAGCTGACCTCAGGTTCAGACTTCAGAGAACAGCATTACATATATTACCCGCCTATTTAAACCATTTTCATGCTAAGATTGTCTACAACAAGTTTTTTCCGGGAGGAGAGGGTTAAAAGTTGAATCCAACATAACCATTCCCAAGACAACTGGTCAGCAACACCTGGGTGGCCACTGGTTGTTACACATTTTCCTCTTGGGCACAGGGCTTGAGAGTCCAAGCCAGATACAATATAGTGAGGACCAGCTGTGTAATATTTGGGTGAAGGCCGCCGCCACAAGCATGTGGAGAAGAAGTCGTGCTAGATGCCAGCCTCACCTTCAGTGTGGTGGGTGTCCCGTGGAGACCCCACTTTTCCTTGGCATGGAACCCAGTGTCCAGTGGTTAGGAAGCAGTGATGTCATGCTCCCCCACCTGCCACCAGGAGGGTGTGTCCTCGATCATGCCTGGACACATCCAGTCATCCTCCAGGTATGGCCTGGGGAGCCTCTGGGGAGCCCAGGGGCTCAGGGGAGCTTCTCAGAAAGAAAAGCCAGAGCACGTGACCACAGTCATCCTTTGGTGGTAAACAGGGCAGCCCCACCTCTGCCCTTGAGGAACCAGGAAGCAGGGAGCAGCGCCCCACAAGCCAGGGGACTGGAATCACTGGGGTGCCAGGTGGGTGGCAGCTGGTGGTGTCCACCCAGAGGCCCCAAGCCCTCCTTCCCCGCTTCTCACCAGCTGTCTCATTCCAAATCGTCCAGCAGGCACAGCATCTTTCACTCAGAGATGGGTAGAATGTTCTGGCAGTGGGAGTCCCCCGTGAGGCCCGAGGAGCGGAGGGAGCGCCTGTGGAGCACTCGGTTCAGCATCTCTTTGCAGCTTTTGCGGTACTGGTGCCGCAGCAGGGAGTACACGAAGGGGTCGGAGGCCGCCTTGCTGTAGGCCAAGCACTTGGACAGCACCCCCCAGTGGGACCCGATGGGCACTGCGGAGGACAGCTCCACCAGCCTGCGGAGAGACAGGGAGGCCGTGAGGGAGGGCACAGCCACAGCGTGCGCCAGACCTCCCCGAGGCCCCCCAGCTTCCTGGCCAAACCTCAGCTTCTTCGAGACTGCCTCCTTAAGTCACAAGCACGGAAGCAGCGATGTACAACAATAGCACTAACAATGGTGGGCATGCGTCAAAGGAGCATGGTTCTGAGGTCTCCTGGTACCCACTGACCAGCTCCATGCAGTGGTCTGGTGCCCGGCTGCAAGCTAGTCAAAGCTATCTTCTGTGTAATAGGAATCCCCCAAAATCAAGCCACTGTTTCTCCTCTCTCAAGTGTGGCCATATCCGGACATTATCCAGCATTAATATAAGATTGAAAAGGCCCACAGATCTCAGAGAGAGCTTAGAGATCATAAATTACCATCCTCCACTGGTGGTCAAATGAGAAAATCAAGGCCCAGAGAGGGGAAGGGACTGCCCACCATCACACAGCGCATTAGTGTGCTCTGACTGGGCTCTGGCACGTATTCTATCTGGGTGCCTGCAGGATGGAAGGCAGTAGCAATTCTCAGCTTGGCAGGCTGCCCAGGTGAGGACCCAGGTTCAGAAAGGACAGCTTGGGCTGTGACCTCTGCCCTGCCAATTTTACTGCTTTTCCAGAAGCCTTCCTTAGATGTAGGTTGTAAGGACAAACTCACAAAGAGGAGGGTGAACAGTCGATGGGGTGTGATCCTCCACCGCAAAGCCCCATTTTTCACTAGATCCTTCATGAACCCATTCCGAGGCACCTCTCTTTGGCTCCTGTTTCCAGAAGCCCTGTCTGTCCTTCCTCTCTGACCCCGTGGGAGAAAGTGGCCGTGTTCCTGTTCATGTCCTCAAACGGGGAAATGGAGCTCGTAGCATTTGGGAAATCAGTACTTTGAAGAAATCTATTTTGGGAAGTGATGCATTTTAAGCAGACAAAAAAAACCCAAATTTAGAATTCACACCTAATAATAACAATGAAATAACTGAACGCCAACACATTTGTTGCTGTGCAATACCAAACTGCTTTTCTAAAATGTTCAGTCTTCTATATATTCCTAAACACAGTCCTAGCATTTTGGCTCACCCAAGAGGATTTAATTAAAGAGCCAAACATCATCAGACCATCCAGCATTATCAAAATTATTATTTACATGTTCTGTAGATTTCACAGAATAAAATAATTCAGGACAATTTAAAATCTCCCCACTTTAGATAATTAAGAGGTTACGTTCTACTGCATTTGCTTCTCAGAGATTGTATATAATGTCTGAACTCTCTGTCTGGCTCAGAAATAATAATCGAGTCTCTCCTTTGGGCCAAATACTTGACATGCACAATCTCTAATCTTAAAAGTATCCTGAAGAGTGGGAATTATTGTTCCCATTTTACAGATGAGGACATTGAGACTTGGAGAGATTGAGCAGCGAGCAGCATCTCCTACCTGAGAAAGCGAGCTCCGTGTAACTGCAGCCCGAGTCCTGACGAGGATCCACACTGAAGTTCAAATCTTAGTATTTGGAGATTGGATGAGAGTTCTAGGGTCCCTGCCAGCCCCAAGAACTCCATTCCCATCAAGTTATGGGCTTCCCGGAACTTATGTCACTTGCCCCTGTCCACAGTGTACACAACAACTTCTGTTTTGAGATGCCAGGGTCTGACAAATGCCAGGTTTGTCAGCACCTCTAGGCAAAAAGGTACTTTGAATCAGCCCGGATCTGCTCTGGACACTGCTCCTGTGTGGCCGAGCCCCAGGCTGAAGCGAGAACGCCTCTTCCTGGGAGCAGATGTGGCTGGCTGGCCAGTTTTCTGCTTCGCCTGTCCACAGCTTGGGCCCCGCACGTTCACCCGCCGTGGCTGGCTTTGCCCTGTCCCAGCTCTGACAGTTCCAAGCCCCAGCTTGTTTAAGGATACTGAGAAGGGACACGGGTTTCCATATTTCCTTGACTGCTTCTTTGTAACTAGTTCCTGCAGGGAATGACCATGTGGTCCCCTCCAGCTGACCTTTTAGAAAGGGAATGCAATGCCCCAGCCCATCTTCGGACGCCAGGTGTAGCTCTGCTCACCCACTCCGGACACCCTCCCTTCCAGGAAACGGCACTGTTATTCTGACCGGTCACATCTTCCTCATGGGCAGAGTCACGCTATGCCTCTTCTCCCTTTTACTTTTACAGGTTTACTGGCCTCTCTTTTCCTGCCCCTCTCCCACCTCGCTCTGACCCAAGGCCCCCGTGTTTAGGAACTACTGGGCTCAGGTGTTAATGAAATGGGACTTTGTGTCCTTTTGCTGTAGCCCCTGCGGTGGGCTGAAATGTGTCCCCCTAAATTCATATGTTGAAATCCTAGCCCTCCTGACCTCTGAATGTCGCATTATTTGAAATAGGGTCGCTGCAGATGTAATTACTTAAGAAGAGGTCACACTGCAGTAGTGTGGCCCCATCCAATATGACTGGGGACCATATGAAAGGGGAATGTGGACACAGAGCACGCAGAGAAAACCATGTGAAGATGAAGGCAGCGACGGGGTGGTGTTCCACAAGCCCAGAACAGTGTAGACCACCAGCACCTAGCAGGAGCCAGGAGAGAGGCAGGAGCAGGTGCCCTCTGAGGCCTCAGAAGGAAGCAGCCCTGCTGTCCCCTTGATCTGAGACTTCCAGCCTCCAAAACTGAGACAATCTGTTTCTATTGTCTAAACCACTCCGTTAGTGGCAGCTTGTTAAGGCAGCTCTGGGAGACTACTGCCCACCCAGTGAGGAACCCCGGGGGCAGGTAGGGGTTGTTAGGCATGATTTCTTTGTTCACGAGTCCCTGGCCATAACAACATCAGAGTGGCATCAAGCCCCACCGCATACCTGGAACTCCGGGTACCCAGGTCGACCCCAGGGTTTGCAGAAGGGTTGCCGGGAGGGACTGAGGGAAAGGGGGTGAGGGCAGGAGCCTGCTTTTCCAAGCATTTCAGGTGACTGATGCAGGTGGCTCACCAGGAAAGCTGGGGCAGAGCCCAGGCAGAGAGGGAGGTGGGAGCCGCTGCAGAGGGTGAGCCTGCTAACCAGTTGGAAGCAGGGCACACAAGTGTGTATTGTTCTCACCCAGGTGACACACAGCAGGTTCCTGCAGATCTTCCCTCCTCCCCAGGCACCCAGCCCCTCCTCTGAACCCCTTTACTCTGTATTTGTTGGGTAGAACTCCTCTGGGGAGCCTTGCTCTCCTCTGTCAGCAGGAAGCCCTCTGCTCTGGGTCACTGGCAGGCCTCTGTGCTGGCTGTCACAGCAGACGGCTGATGAGGCCAGGAAGCCCACCCCTGGCCTTTCACCCACAGGGACCACCCAGCAGCTTGGCAGTCCTGGTGCCCGGAGGGAGGATGAGGGTACATTTCCCAGAATTCTATGGCACTCTCTGAATGCCTGGAGAGACCAAGGTGTCAGTTCTGCTCGACAGTGAGAATCTCTAATGAAACCAAGTTCTGGGGTGAGAATAGGGCCAGTCACACCCACAGCCCTAGACCCAAGAGCTCCTCCCCCAGAGCTCAGGCTTTGACCATGGCCTCACGAAGTCTCAGGCCCCCCTCAGAGTGTCTCCCCACCATATAGAGTGATGTGCCACCGATGCATGGCCTGGATGTGGAAGACCCAGGTTTCAAACCCTGTACAGTGGGCACCAGGGACCACACGCTGCCTGCTCCCAAAACACTCTTCCAAGCTCCCTGACGTGGCTCCAGGATGCATCAAGGACCTTTACTTTCAACTCCTGAGTGTAAAATGGAAATTAGCGCCCTCTCTTTATGCCTTCTGGGCCTCCGTTATCTTCTGCCACCATCTCCACACGCACACACGCACGTGCACATGCGTGCACACACACTCTGTGCACCAAATGGAACACAGGCCACAGAACATTCTTTAGGAAGCCAGCCTGATGTCTTCCCAAGATTTCTGGAGAACTTGGTGTGCACATTTGAAGACCTGTAAGTAATAACCTGATGCTTTAAATGTTCATGAGACATTAGAATGGAAAAGGCATTTTATTAATAGAATATTAACATCGGAACAGCCACCTGCATATTAAGCCCCTCTGCCATCTACATAATTCCATGACTTTGAAAAGCCACAATAATGGGGCTGACAGATCTGCAAATGCCTCCAGGACCCATTCCGATGATTCCGGACAGTCACAACGATTTGTAAGCGGGTATCGCTGTGGAGGTAACAGCCTTACAAATGCTTCCAGCTGTATGAATTTTAATTCAGAATAATTTAATTAGAGCTTTTGGATGAGAATCTGTTGCAGATCTTCAGACCCTGCTCAAACACTCTGGGAAGAGCCCAGTGTGACCCTTCAGGGCTCTAAGGAACGGGAGCCAGTTCGAGGGAGTGAGTTTTTAGGTAATGACTCCTCTTTCAAGTGAAATGGAGGTTCCCAAATGTTTTCCACTGTCATCTGACGTGCCCCAGCGTGCAGGTCAGGCGGCTCTTTGGTTGGGTGCAATGGTGGGACTGTCTCTCTGAAAGGCATTTGCTGCATGGTGAGCACTGTGTCAGCCAAGTCTGCCGACAGCGCCAGCTGCCAGTGCTGATGGCCCCTGGGCGCCGCTGCAGGTGGACACAAGCTGTGCATAGGAAGTTGGATCAAAACCCTGCATATGGGCATCTCTGTGTTTCCAGGGGCTGGTCCCTAGGTTCTGGACATGTAACACGGCCGCAAAGCTAAATCATCGCCAATAGGTCCGTTACTTTAGCCCTTGGATACACCAGTCACTACTCCTGTGTCCTTGGGCGACTCATCTTCTCTGAGTATCCATGAGATAAGGGTTCTAGTACTTACCCTGCAGGAGAGCTGCACTAGTGCGACCAGGTAGGAACCTCCTGGGTGCATTGCAAGGTGTCCAGTAAGGGACAGGGGCAATTATAAAGACTTTGTGTCCCCAAATTAAGGTAATTTGAGAACTTGAATGGTTCTTGACCCAAGAATGATGCTTCTTTATCTGAGAAAGTGACCAGGCAGATGCCGATAGATATGAGACAAAGAGAAAGGAACCCCTCCCAACCAGCCGGATCTTTCCATCAACTCAAAAGGGTGGCAGTTGTCACAGCAGAAGCGCTTTCTGTGCCTCAGTGTTCCCATCTGCCAGATCCCAGTGCACCCCACCACTGTCCGGATGTTGATCCCCACTTGCACACGTCTCCATTTGTAAGGCTGAATGGGTGGAAGCAGCAGGTAGGCTGCCTGGATAGACAGTCATTGCACAGTTGTGGGAAATGTTAGTTTCTACGCTGACAGCTCAATGAAGGGTTTAAGTGACACTTGAACAGCTTGATTGCAATCATCTCCGGAACTGTCGCTTTCTGGGTTCTGAGTGGGTCATGGCATCGCCTGCCTTCTACATCCTTCTGGGAGAAAAGTAGGAAGCCTTGTGCTCTTGGAGGAGAAGCAGGGGGGTGCAGCACCAGGCTTGGGTTCCAGGCAGACCCAGCTGGAACCCTGCCGAACAGTCCTGGATTGGGCAAGGCTGGGACCTGTCTGAGCCTCAGGATCTTCCTCTTAAAAATGAGGCTATTGTCATGCACGGAGGGTGGTCCAGCTTCAGGCACAGAGCAGCGACTTAGAGGGTGAGCTGAAGAGGCTGAGCGTGTTCTTACTTCTCTCTGCCGCAGGGTCAGCCCACTGCCGCTTCAATGGCTCTGACTTGTATTTCCCTGGACAGGAAGGGGGCCGAGAATAATGAGTCGGCGCCACCCGCAGGAGAGTCCCTGGGGCTGCTCGGAGGCTGGCTGGGCTGGACCCAGGCTGCTTCATCTTCCAGGTTGGCTCGTTAGGGCCCAGATGGCAGCGGAACTCAATTCCCTGGAACCATCATCACTGAGCACCTGGCAGGCTGGAGGGACGCGGCAGTGCCTGCTGCCCCCAGGAGAGCCTGTGCTTTGTGGCCAAGGAGGTGACCTCCATGATTCCAATGTCTGGAAGTCCCCAGGGTCTTCTGCCCATCCCAGGGCAGGGTGGCTCCCCCCCGAGGCCAGTGGAGTCCAAGAGTAGACGTGTGACAGTTACTCTCATGTGGCAGCCTAACTGGCCCTGGGCACCTAGAAGGCACGTTCTGGGCGTGTCTATGAGGGCACTTCCAGGTGGGCTTTGCATTTGAATCCAGGGACTCACTGGAGCAGACTGCTCTCCCCAGTCAGGTGGCCAATCTCCAGTCTCGTAAGGGCCTGAACAGAACAAGAGTCGGAGGAAGGAGGAATTCCCCTCTTTCTCCTGCCGCACCGATTGGACTGGGACACCTCGTCTCATTTTCTCCAGCCCTTGGACCAAGACTTAGCCCATCACCCGGGCTCTCTGGCCTGCAGGTCACGCTGAGTCACAGTGCAGCTGTCTGGAGTCTCCAGCTTGCAGATGGTCGATTGTGGGACTTCTTAGCCTGCGCCCCCCCCCGACTCTCTCTCTCTCTCTCTCTCTCTCTCTCTCCATATACATGAACATAAAGAAGCCAAGGCAACAGCTGGGCGGGTGGTGGCAGTGGGGGAAGGGGCTGGTGTCACTGGAGGCATAGTGTGTACTTATGAGGTTTCCTGGGCATGCATTTTTCTCCTGAGTAAGTGGCCATTGTCCCCATACAAGATGAGCAGTTTTGTGAATGTTTTTAAAAACTCAAAATGTATCAAATCCATTTGGAGGGAACATATTGAGTTGTGAATCTACCATCAGGTTTACTGGGAACCATTAGAGTAACCGAGCTATAATCAGAAAAAGGGAACTTCTGTTGGGAAATGAGGACAGACAAAAATCCAATAGTGTCAAGTGAGAGCCACATGACCTGTTCTCCTCTGAGGGTTCAAGTTCACCTCACAGCGCACAGGTCCCCTTTACCATGGGATCTAAGAGGAGGGGGTCTGCATGTTTTCCCTTCCCAGGCATCTTTCCACTCTGGAGTTAATCCCTTCATTTCGTGCCGCAGGCTGGCTCTGGGGGTGGTGCTGTTACGTACTGGGGGCAGGAGGGTGCTGACCACAGACACCCAGGCCAGGACTGTGCCTCCCATGCTCCCGAGCTTAGTGCCCTTTACCCTCAGGGCAACCCTAAGAGGCAGGCACTGCTTGCCTCTGGTTTGCCGATGAGGGACTGGAGGCTCGGACATCAAACAGAACCCACTTGATGTCACTGGCTCAAGGTCACACAGCACGAAGGAGTGAACCTGTGGATTGAACCCAGGTGGGCGTACTCCACAGCCCATGCTGGTAACCTCTCTGCTGCAATGGAAACCTATTCTCTGTGTCCCTTGGAAATGCAGAACCCCACACAAACTCATGGCTGCATGTGGTCGGTCTAAACTGGGGGTGCTCAACCAGAGGTGATTAGGGTCCTCAGGGAACACTTTGCAATGTCTGAAAACATTTCTGGTTGTCAAAACTGAGAGGCAAGAGCGAAGAGGAGCTGTTGGTGGGTGGTGAACAGAAGACAGAGATGCTACTAACATCCCACATTACACAGGACAATCCACCACAAAGAAGGATCCCACCCAAAATGTCAACAGTGCTGAGGTCTAGTAGACAATTCTAGAAGGAAGAATTTATAGCTCTGCTCACCTAGGTCAGACCTACCCAGAGACCTGCAGACAGCCGCCCTAGGTCCCACATTTAAAGTGAGATGCAGGCTGACTCTACTTCCCCAGAGGAAGTGGCAAGCTACAGAAAAGACCGTCAAAAACACTCTGGGGCTGTGCTCTCTGGAGAAGAGAAATAGGCGGCTGCTGTGGGGAAGCCAGGCTCACTGCAAATCAGCAGGGCCCCCGCGTGTGGGGGCACATTCCTCTTGGCCGCAGCAAGCAGGACTGGGAGTACGAAGGGAGCTACAAGGAAGCAGGCTTCATTCCGCTCAGTGCTCAGTGTAGAGGTGGGCGGGGAGACACAGGGAGACCCGGCCAGCAGCTCCCCGTCCCTGGAACATGCAGGCCTGCTCTGGGGGACAGTGAGGCAGGCTGTCTCCTCCAGGTCCTTGCCAGCCAAGGAGCCTGGGATGACGGGCTGTGTTCTCTCTCTCTCTCTCTCTCTCTCTCACACACACACACACACACACACACACAATCTTGCACAGATTCTATTTCCTGGGCTCAACATCCAGCTCCTAACAGAACATCAACATCCCTTTTATTGTCAGCTTCCCGAAGAGTTAAGCCATTTCGGATTCAAAGTTGTGGGATTCAAAGTGTGCAAAGCAGATTGAATGGTGCATTTCTTTTTGCTGGCTCCAGTGGGGAGCTCGTTGCAGTGAGAGCAGGTTGGCTTCTGGAAGGCACAGCCCTGAGGCCAGCACATAGCAAACCTGAGTGGTTGGGGATCAGAGAGAACGTGACAGGCTCACATGCTCGGACTCACAGCGGAGAGCCCCAGAGCTGCAGGCCACCTGCACCTGGCTGGGCACAGAGCATGCCCCCTGCTCCCTGTGCAGGTGGCCTGTGGCCCCGGCCCTGACCCAGGTGTCCAAGCTCAGCATGCCTAAAGGGCTGGGCTCTACATACTCAGCAGGCAGCGGGAACCCAACCACTGCCGGCTGTATTCCTCTGTCTTTTCACCCCTTTCCTTTCCTGGTTGAGGCCTGAGGATAAAGGGTTAGGTGATGTGACTTGGAAATCAAGTAGGAGAGAGGTTTTCATGCTCCTCTGGCTCTGAGTCTAATCCAAGAGAATTAGAGGTTGATGAGAAAGAGCACGTGCCCTCCTTCCCACCACACCTGTCAGGCTCAGTCGCACCCCCAACGCACTGTCTGAAAAATGTGGCCAGAGACCAGTGACTACTAACGGTTATGCTGGCCCTGCTTTGCTCTGCAAAGCCCCATGCTCACCTCCTGCTGGCCGAGCTCACCTGGTGATCACGTAGGGTGCAAAACACACGAGGAAGGTCCCTATGAAGGTGCTGATCTTCTTGGTGGCACGCTGGCGCCGTCTCTTCTGTTCCTCCAGACAGCGTTCTCGCACACTGTGTGAGAGGGGAGAGGTGACTCACGGGCGGGCCTGCCCAGTCACAGTGGGTTACTGTGTGTAAACACAGGCAGTGGCCTCAAGCGCAGGAATAGCCAGAGACCTGAGGTCAAGGTCAAGTCTTGCTGTGTGTCCTTGGGCATGCTATGTGACATCACTAAGCCTCAGGGTCATCGTCTGTAAAAGGTGCATAGTAATATAATAATATGCTGCAAAGGGCTGTTCTGAGAATTAAATGCATAAAGCACACAGATGCATGAAATGCATTCAAACCATAAAGCACATAACGCAATTAGCACAGATTAACACAGTGCCCAAGTGCAAATAAATACACACACTTATTATTACTCATGTCATGTCCCTCACTGATCACCTGCGATGCTTCACGTCCATACTCTTTAAGTAGAACTTCTAATTCTTATCTTTACCACAGTTGATCCTGCCAGGTGCATTTCATCTGCCAAGTTTTAGAATAAAGACCATGAGCTCAGTGAGGCCAAATGATTTGCTCAGCTGATAAGGGGAGAAAGGACTTGAACCCTTGTCCGTGTGATGCAAAGCTGGTCCTCCCCGCCTGGGGTGGCCTGGACTCTGTATGCAGTAGGACACAGTGCCTCCTGTTCTCCACACCTTCAGCCCTGTTTCTTCCATCCCAAAGCTTCAGCCCTGCCTGCAGCTACAGACACTATATAGGAGGTCTTTGCGGGAGAAGTCAGTTGATTCCTTCAGAGACCAAGGTCAGTGAAGCTAAGGGACTGCCACGTCCCTGGGAAACCAGGGACACAGCTTCGAGGATGAAATCAAGAGCTTGTTGCCTACACCTCTAACCTGCCCTGGTCCTGACTTTACTTTGTCCTAGGACCTTCCGAGAACTGACATCTCATGCCAGTGGACAGCAGTGATTCTTGCAACATTCCCTGCAGCCACAGGGCAATGCCTGAGCAGCAGCAAGTCATCCATTACCATGGTGTAAGCACACAGCACCAGAGCCAGACTTCTGGGTTCAAACCTAGACTTCACCAACTAATTGCTGTGTGGGCCTTAGGCAAATTATGCAGCCTCTCTGTGCATCAGCTTCCTCGTCTCTAAAATGAGGGTAATAAGAGAGCCTGCCTAACAGGGTTATATGGAGATAAACTAAGTTAACACGCAAAAATTGTGTTAACCAGGACAGTGCCTGATTTATAGTCAACACTCTAAGTGTTAACCATGATACTTAAACATTCAGCATACATTTATTGAACAACTTTTAGTTCTAGCACTACCTTGAACCCCAAAACCACAGGGATCCCTCTCAAAAATTCTCTTCCTGCCCTGTGCATTTGGGAGGGATGGGGAGAGAGAGAGCAAGCTGCAACCAGGAACCATGCTGTGGGAGGGCTGGGCCACTAGGGACCAAGTGGATGCTGTTTCCTAACAGCAATGGTGCCTGGCGTGCCGTGGGGACACAAAGGGTGACTGGGCAGATGCTGTGTGTGGTGTTAGCATCCATGGGCCTAGGACAGACTGGCTGGACTCCAGGTCATGTAGACGGTGAGTGATCCTCTCATCCGTCCCACCCAGCTCACAGATGGGGAAACAGGCTCAGAGAAGAGAGGGACTTGCCCACCCAGAAAGTAGGGCTCAGGCAGGGCTACCCCTAGTTACTGCCTCCCTGTCTGGTGCTCCTGGTCGAGAACCACATGGCTGCTTCCCTGAACTCCTGCAAAAGAAGAGAATGGGTCCGTGTTCTCTTCCCAGAGCTCCCGATTTCCAGGTAAGAACAGGGAGGTGGCAGCATGAGGAAGTCAAGGCAGTGCCCCAGGCTCCGAGGAGAGCAGGGCAGCCCTCTTCCTTATAATTATTATTGTTTAATCACAGTAGGAGAGCGGCTCACTGGCTCCAGAACAGCACAGTAATAAAGTCACTTGGCACTTGCTGTCCTGTGTTCCCTCCATAGCTTTGCAAAACTGAGCTCCCTGAGATCTTGCAACGCTGTGAGCTGTTACTTGCAGATGAGAACGCTGAGGGCCAGGAAGGTTTATGCCGTGTCTAAAGGGGACGGAGAAGGCTGGGGATACCTGAACAGTGACTACATGAGGTGATCGTGACTAAAGCACAGTGGGTCTGCATCTGCAATGACCCCCAGATGACGTAGTGGGTCCTGCACCCACCCTCTGAGTACTCGCAGAGAGAGCTAAGTTTGTTTCCTGGCTTTCAGGAGAACAAAGCAAAGGCAAGGGGATAAGCTGACCGCTGGTGGAGAAGAGCCTTGAGTCTGGGGTCAGGACAGCATGTCAGCAGTCCTGTCCTCACGTCTGGCCAGAAGGGTCCCTGTGCTGGGTCCTGGACAATGAGAAGCCCCCACTGTCCCCATGAAATGGAGAGTCCACGGGGCTAAAGGGGGGTACCCACCTAGAACCTGCATCTTCCATTCCAGGCCAGGCTTTAAGTGCCTGGAACACAGTATTCCTTGCCTGAATGCCCTCATCCTGCTTCCAGAACACGTGCAGGCATCTTCCTTGGGCTCAGCCTCCCGAGGGTGAGCAGCACATGGACACACAACCTGTGATGTCCCCGCCGCTCATGGGAGGTCCCTTGTGGTGCTGGGCACAGGCAGGGCTGGGGAGGAGGCCAGGGGCTGTGTGCTCAGGGCCTGCTCAGCTCGCCCCACCACCTATGAGGCTGAACAACTCCAAGGAGCCTTATAATTCTAAATTTGAAGCCAGCCTTGCAAAGTGCTAAACATGCATGTTCGTCAAAGTAGGAAGAAAGAACATATTTAACAGTTTGTAAGCTTAATTTAGAACTTCTGAAGATTTATATAGCTGGTTTGTGAGCCTCCATTTGCACTATTGTCCCATCCATAAATCCCAGGGGTGTGAGCCTGGGCTTGAGCCACATTTTGGATCTGTTACATCAGGCAAGGGCCCTGCAACCCCTGTCTCCCAGTTTCCTTGTCTGTAAAATCAAGAGCACAGTGCGGTTATTTCTATGGCGCTTCCATCTACTATGCCACAGTTCTGATGTCCTCCAGGGTCCCTACTCTGTCAGCCTTAGTAGGCCTTGGGTATTCATGGACCCACACTGGTGTGGTGCCCCTCAGCTGGACCAGGAGAGCAGGGCTACTGCATCAAGGCCCCAGCTCCCCACCTGTGTCCCTCATCAGGCAAGAGCCCATCTCTGGCAGGACCCAGGAGAGGACCTGGCAACTACTACTCTGGAGCTATGGTTTGGGAGAACGGAACCAAGTAAACTGAGCAGTTCCAGGACCAGCTAGGTAATAAATATTAGGAATTCCAAACTGTTTGATGAATGTAGCAACTTGAGAAACCATCTCCAAAAGGCAGGAGTGGGGAATGTCTCTCAGGGTCCCAGATTTCATTTGGAGCAGAGGTTCCCCAATCTTTTTGTGGTATCAAAGCAAAGGAGTCCATGCAGCACCTGCCGCATTTCACACTCTGCAGGAAGGGCAGGCGCGACAGGGAGCTTCCTGACAAACACCACCCTAGGCCTCGGGGAGCGCAAGATGGGTCCCTTTTTAATTAAGTCCCAGGAGGCCATTAGTGTGGTGGCTGTTAAGTAAAACTTCCAGTGAGCAAAGACTCCACCTGCCTCTCTGTCCAGATAAGGCAGCCTGGCTTCTTCTGATCCCCACCCTGCTCTCAGCCCCCAGTCAGCCCAGGAGGCGTGGCTGATCTTTCTGGAGCTAATGCCTATGGTTCTAGAGACAGCCCCTGCCCCCATATCAGCTCTGCAGTTTCTCATTTGTTGGGAGCAAGAATTTGGAGCCACCAAGAAAGAAGCCTGTGGATCCACTCTTGGAAGCCAATACCCTCCCATGTGGCCCATGGCCATCTTCTGGCTCTGGGCCACCCCCAGTGAAAAGGCAGGCTGCACGCACTGAGGGCAGTGTCGTCACCTGCACCCACTACTCTATAACCTCAGGCTGGCCCCTGGCCAGTGAGGCCCGTCTGAACTGGCTGAGGGTGGTCCTTACCTCAGAAACCCTTCCTCTCCCCGTGCAGATGGCTGCTGCTCCTTGATCCTGCAGGGTCCCCTTCTCAGGGGCTTGGGAAAAATGAAGGTCCCCGCAGAGGGTGCTGGAGAAGAGCAGGGGGTCTGGAGGCCAGCACAGCTGCTGTCTCCACTCCTGAGACCCCCTCGAACTCTGTGCTGTGTCTGGTCTGGATTTAGTGAGAGATTTGCAAGAGAGGAGCCGGCCCTCCATCCTAAATGGGCTGAGAGGGAGCTCCGGCCCCTCCCGTTCTGGGACTTGGAGGGAGAGCGGGGAGGGGGTTCGTACTGGTCTGAATAAGAGCTGATCCCTTTCAGGCTCAACCCCACCTCCACTGTTAGATCCGTGGTGAGGGAATCATTGTAGTCCTGGGAGCTACAACATTGCCATGGCTTCCCAGTCCAAGTCCTTTGGGTGCACCTTCTAAAGTGAGGTCCTCCCGCCCCTGGGTGATGGGAAGGGTAACAGCCCTGGAAGGCTCCCGGGAAGACAGAGAAGCGCAGAATACATCTTTAAATGACACTGAACCATGAGCAGACATGCAGTGAGTTAGCCCAGGTCTTCGTGTCAGTGTGCACAGTGACATATGCACAGGTGGTGATCTGTTACACATGCAGTTTATATGTGAACACATGTGATTGTGTGAAGATTGCACACTTACATGCACATGTTCAGATGCCCTGGTGTCTTTGTGCAATTGGTTATTCCTTCATGTGTGTTGTACGGGACTCTGTGAGAGAGATTCTGTACCTAGAAGCTTTATTTAGTCCACCATGTAATCAGGAAGGGCTGTTCTGAGGGTTAACAACAAACACACACATATGTGCCCTTCTACGTGCAGGCACAGTGAAGTTCAAGGACTTCTCATTGCTCATGGGCAGGACAATCTCACAGTGCAGGCGCCCTTGCAGAGACTGACACTTCTGGTCTGTCCCCCTCAGCCCTGAGCTTGCTTCTCCCAGTTGGGGCGGGAGGTGGGGGCATTCACATCCTAGGGACGGAGCTCCCTCCCTGCACTGGCCTCACGGCATCCATGCTCACTGCCTCACTTTCCATGACACCTGGACAACAAAGTACCCTTTTCTAGGGTCCATGGCAACAGAGGGGGAGCCCTTCTCTGAGATGACAGGATGTAAAACAGCAGAGTCCTCAGAGAGAGAGATCAGCAGGCATTTCCCTCCCCCATTTCCTATCCCCATCAGGAAAGCTGAGGTGAGCTCAGGACACCTCAGCTAAGAGTTTCCCCTTCTTTCCCTGAGAAGCAGGGGTTCCCAGGGGTACTTACACCTGAACTGCCCCTAAACTGAGAATCAGTGACAGGTGAGGGCAGAGATGGGGTGGACAGGTGTGTCCTCGGAGCCTTGGGGTGACACTCTCCCTGTTCAGGGGCCTCAAGGCTCCACGCCTGGGAGACACAGGCCAGTGCTGTCTGGGAAGGGCAGGAAGAGCCCCCGTCCCTGCAGAACCTTCGATGCTCCTTTGAGGAACCCCGAGGAGTGCGGCCCAAGGACTCACATGCACAGGAGACAGAGACAGCGCCAGACTCCAAGGAGGGAAGACCCAGAGAACAGCAACTGGCATCTGAAGAGCTCTTAAGGGGCTCCCTAAGCATCGAGGCCGGCACTCAGGGCTTGATTAGAACCTTTTAAAGGACTTAAGCCGTGAACTGAGATCACTGCCTTCTCATACGCTATCGAAAGTGAAAACTACAAACACACATTAAATAAATCCAACGAAGTTCTGACTCCCTGTGATTTCTACCCTTTGCTTCAAAAGTATATATTACTCTGCCCACTGCTGGGTGCCCTGCTTGGCCGAAGCTCTAAGCACCTATCTTAAGACTCACAGCCTTGGCCCCTCCCCCGCCTCCGTTTTCCAAACTGAGATGGAGTCTGGGCTGGACACTGAGCAAGCCGCACACTGGAGCAAGTGGGAGACGGGGGCCCCCTTCCTCCCGGTGACACTCTCACTGGGGCTCTGCTCACCTGGGATGGATGTCCACGAGCAGCACGAGAGTCTGCATGGTGATCACGTCGATGCGCTTGCAGTGGAAACGGGCCACCTTGAGCACCTTGAGGTACGTGCAGCAGAGCACGACGAAGGAGAGCAGGAAGCTGAGCGCGTGGAAGGTGCCCGTGAAGACGGCGAAGCGCAGGCGCTCGTCCGGCCGCCGGCTGCACAGCGTGCACGAAGCGTAGAGCTGGTGGAAGCCCAGCCAGGACAGGGAGAGCGCGGCGGCTGGGAAGGCGAGCGCGTGCAGCCACGTGTAGGCCACCATGAGCGCCGCGTCGCGGAGGCGCATCTTCGCGCGGTAGCTCAGCGGGAAGACCACGGCCACCCAGCGGTCGATGCTGAGTGCGGCCATGCTGAGCATGGAGTTGGCGGCTAGGAAGGTGTCGAGGAAGGCAGCCAGGTGGCACAGGCGGTCGCCAGCCGGCTGCCGCTGCGCCACGACGCCGGCCAGCGTGAGCGGCATGTTGACCACGGTGCACAGCAGGTTGCCGCACGTGAGGTTGAGGGTGAAGAGCGCGGGCGCCTGGCGGCGGATGTCGGCGCTGTGCAGCAGGCAGAGCAGCACCAGCGCGTTGGACAGCAGCGAAACGCCCATCGTGCCCACCAGCAGCCCCACCAGGCCCGCGTCCCACGAGTTCATGGTGCGCGCCTGCCGCCGGCGCTCAGGGCCCACAGCCCGGCGCCGCCATGGCGCAGCCGGCCGCCCGCTCAGCCCCTCGGCTCCGCCGCAGCCCGGCGACCCCCGGCCCCGGGCCCCATGGGTCCCTGGGGGGTGCGCAGCCACCCTAGAGCCCCGCGCCGGCCCGCGGGCGCGCACGTGGGCACGCGGCTAAGCCGGACCCCGCGCCACCTCCCGCGAGCTCGGAGCGCCCTGGGATCGCGGCCGCCGGCGCCCGCGGCCCCGCTCCGCCTCGGCCTCCTCGGGCGCCCAGCCCGCCCCTCCAAGCCCCTCCCCGCGGCCCCGAGCACCCCTGCCTTCCGGCTCTCGCCGCCCGCTCCCGCCCGCTCCCCCTCTCCGCCCTGCTCCCCACTTTCGCTCTCTCTCCCTCTGTCCCCTCCGCTGGGCTCCTCTCCCCTCTCTCCCACTGCTGTTCTCTCCGTCTGTCCCTCCCACCCCCAATTTTCTCCTCTCCTCTTGTTCTTCCCCCTCCTTTTCTCTCTCTTCTGAATCTGGCTGATCACAGAAATCCCCGCTGATGCGCGCGCGCGCGCGCACACACGGGGAAGAGCAGCCCTGAAGCCTCCAGTGCAGGGTGATTGGTTCCTAGTAGCTCCCCCCACCCCAAACCTCTCCTATGTGGATCCAAGACAAGCTGAGTCAAGGAAGTCTGTCTGAGAAAAAGGAGGAACCCCTGGGCACCTTCATGTCCCAGTGCCACCTACCCCGGCCTGAGCACCAGCCCAGCCAGACCTCCCCAACCAGTCCCGGCTGAGCTTCCCAAGAGCCAATGCTCCTCCCTCTGGGCTGAGCTGGGGGATCCCAGTGAGGGGAAGGAGCCCATCTCTGCACCCCCCATGACCACACGCCTGGCTCCAGGGCAGCGGCTGCGCCCCCCGGGGGCACTCTGTTCCTCTCTGTCCCAGAGCTTCTGCAGCATCCCCCAGCCGGCGGGGGGGATGCTGAGACTCGCTGTGACATCCTCTAGGCATTCCCTTAGCCAACAGATGCCTTTGTCTGACCCTGAGTGCCCACACTGGGCGGGCCTGCCTGTCCACAGCCAGCCTCAGCAGAGCCCTGATGTGGCTGGTACTCAGCATTCCCAGCCCAAGTTCCAGCTGCTGCCATCTGTCAGCTACACACCATCTGCCCTGGCACTGGTGAAGCCGCAACTTCCGCTTTGTAAGGATCCTGAATGACATAACATGTTGGAGCTCTTCAGAAACAGGAGAAGAGGGTGGCTGGCATGGCTTTGTGGCAGCTCGAGGGACTCAGGACATGCAAGATCTCAGCTTCCCCTCGGGAGATTGTGCAGAGACTGTAGCCCTTCTCCTTTTGTCAAGGCCCTGTGGGAACATTGCATGGATCGAGCTCCCCTTTCCGACCCTGAGAGCCCATGATTGAATATTTACCAACATGCCATTGACCTCATAGGACCGCAGGTAACTCACTGAACTTCACCAAGCCTAGGTTTCCTCTTTACAGTTCAGAGACTTGGTAAGCAGTAACTAAGACAATGTGTGTGTGGAGCTTTGCCTCCCAGAGGAGAAACAGAACAGAATGCCAGCAATTACCTCTGCCCTTGCCACTTCCCCACCAGCATGTAGCCTGCAGAAAGCAGGGTTGGGTACATGTCATCATTAGCTACTTGGTATATGACATCAGAGTGAAGTGACTCTCTGCCACTCCCCAAAATTGTGTCCCCGCAAATAGCCCCTGGCACAAGACAGGTACCCACATACTGTTTGTGGAGTAAATGAATCAAGTGTTCTGTTTCTGGCAGCACCATTGGACCCATGAGTCTCACACCTTACTATTTACCAGAATCACCCGAGAAACTTGAGGCACTGGTTAGACATTTAGCTCCCTGGGTCAGACTCCGGGTTTCCCAGTCAGCAGGTCTGGGGAGCTGCAGTCTCAGTGGGCTGTGTAGGGTGGTCCATCATGAGAGGAACACAGTCTGTGGGAAGTGAGCACGTGGACCAGCTAAATGTCACCTCATCACCTGGCACATCCTCTAAGATGGGTCTGATATCCTGGCCTGGAGACCCTTGCTGAGGGGCCCCCAGTGCATATAGGAACCACAGGGTAAAGTGTTAACTAACAGGCCCATAGCATGTTACATAATGTAGTTTACAAAATGCATCTCATGTTATTGTACCTTACCCCGCAACAATGACAAGAAGACCTTCTCATCCACATTTTAAAAATGAGGACACAGAGGCTCAAAGAGGCTAAGGAACAGAGGTGGTCAGGATGAGGCCAGCACCACTAGCTCCTTCGACTGACCCCTTCTGAATACACCAGAGGTCCTCAGTCACCTTCCTAAGGAGGTGTCTTTGGTCTGGAACTTGAAAGTATCTCAACTTTGCAACATGAAAATGATGTTGGTGACCAGGTAGCCAGGTCTAATGGCAATAAACCAGTGAATGTGCACATGTATACACATACACACACACATATCCTTTTTAAGATCATTTGCCTTCTTGAAATATTAAAATGCCAGAAAGGCACAGAATATTTTAGCTCAGTTTCCTAAAGAACAGAGCTCATTTTCTGCTGGCTGTGAACAACATCTCCTGCTCCCAGTGGGGCTGTGGGGAGGCTGGCCTCCATAGTGACTGGGTTCCCAGCCCCTTGGAGTTATCCAGTCTGGGCCTCACGGAGCTCAGGTTCTGACATGGCCCCAGACACCAGCAGTGAGGTCACACTCACCAAGGAAGGGAAATGGCTGTTCCTGTCCAGGCTTTGACGCAGGGTCCTCACTGCCTCTCGTGAAGGGACTCGAGAATCTGGCCCACCTAATCAGGGAACACAAGGCACCAGGGTCTGGAGTGTGCCCACCGGGGAGCATACTGGGGCTGGAGCTGCGTGTCATGCTTCTCTGAGCTGGAGAGAAGGGATGGGATGTGCATGACAGCATTCACATGAGTCATTAACTGCAACTGGGCCCCAAGAAAGGGCTCAAAACCAGAGCTGACTCTCTTTCCTTTAGGTGGTTTAATATAGTCCTACATGGAGGCAAGCACTTGAACACGTCATTGAGAATCCTTGCTGCAGCCCTCCAGCATAGGTGTCCTGATTGCAGCTTGACAAGTGAAGGAGCCAAGACCCAGAAAGGTTCCCAATTTCCTCAAAATCGCTCCAGGGAGGCCTCATTAGATACGGAAGAATGAACTGATTAAGATGGCAGGTTAAGATTCCAGGATTGGAATCCATATCTACTGAGCATTAAAACCCATGCTGTTTCCACTGTGCCACTATATTACCCAGGATTTTTAACACGGGTGCTTGACTACACACAGGCAAATACAACACTGGTACTGCCAGTGGAAGTGGTCCTTCTACCAAATGGCTCTCTTTAGGAAGAGATGAGAGATTTATATAAACTGAACTGAAACTGAAATGTCACCAGTTCCCCAAGAGAGGTCCCGCTAAAGTGCTATGGACACAGAGAGCACGTTCCTTTGGGGATCATAGGACTCTCGATCTCTGCAAGGGAAGGGGGTCCTAGGAGTTAGGAGAAGGGAAGTGCCTGAGCAAATGCAAAGAGGCTGAAGCCTGGTTCTTTTTTGTGGCTCCGGAGAGAAGATGGGTCTACAGAATGACCTAAAAGAAAGGTGGCAGCAAATCCTGAATGTTAGGTCAATGCCAGCCTGGAGGACAGAAATGTCACTCTGCTTCAGATATGACTTTCAGGACCTGGAGCAGTGAGCTGTCCTGGGGATACGTTCTTACCAGCCTTTCTACCTGAGCCCACCAGCATGCCTCCACTTTCAAAGCATTTACACACCTGCTAATTCATGTGACCCCATAGGATCCTGGGAATTCTAGGAGTGACACAGAGATGGATCTCATTGCACAAGTAAGAAAATGGATCCTAGAGGTGACATTCTTTGCCTAGGGACATATGGCTGATAAGTGGCAGACTGGGGCCTGGAATCCAGAGCCCTGATTCACTATCCCTACTCTCTCTGCTACTGACTTCTGCCCACTCCCAGAATGGTGGTGCCTTTCCAGGAAGGCTGTTTGTGCATACCCCTCACCCCACCTGCAACCTGGGCAAGCAGAATCAACTGAACAGTTCTTCCAACAGGACGATTAGGCTTTTGGCTCACTTGCCCATTAGCAGGGAAGAGAGGAATTGGCTCTCTGGGCAGGGCCTTTGCCATTCCTGAGTCTCCATGGCTGTCTCAGGCCCCACAGGCCAGGCACAGAAGGGAGTGGGCCCAGCAGAGAGCAAAGGAAGGCTGCTACCTGTCAGTCTCAGCTAAAAACCTCCTGGGAGTTGCTGAGGCACTACTGTCTGATGGGACTCAGGAGGCTAGGAACATTTATTGTAGGCTGGCTATGATCGAGACACTGCCTGCTTAATCTCATTTAATCTTCACAGCCACCCTATACAAGAGAGGCTATATTTATCCCCATAATACAGATGAGGAAACTGGGGTTAAGTTTAAGGATCTTGCCAGGATGTCAGAGCTAATGAGAGAGGTGATGTGGACCCAGGCCCATCTGACTCTGTGCATGTTTGTACAGTCACTGGGACTCTTGCTCTGATGCCCAGATTTGGTGCCTCCCATCTCTCCTGATGTTGTTGATCAAACATCCTTCCCATTCTTTCCTCCCACCTCTACCTCCTTCCCAAACTGGATCCTTGGGCTGAATGCCATCGGGGCAGTATAGGAAGTCAGTATACAATACAGGTAAACTTGAAAGGACCCTGTGGGACAGGACTGCTGAGCACTTTATGGTCATTCCCCAACTTATGGCTTATAAGATAGGGATTGCCATCCCACTTAAGGATGAGGTCATGGAGGCTTGCAGCTAGGCAGCTTGCCCAAGGTCTCACAGATAGCCCACGGCAGATCTGAGATTAGAATGCCAATCCCCACCCCCACTCCCCAACCTAGGGTTCCACCACCTGCACCATAGTTGCCCCCACAGCTGGGCAGACAGAAAGAGCTGCAGTCCAGCTAGAATGTGCCTGGCCCAGATAAGGAGCCATTCCTCTCCACTGAACTCACCATGCCCACATGGCCAGTCAGTGAGGTTTACACCTTGCCTTGAAAATCCATTAAGCCTGCCTTGTGGCAGCAGCAGCGTCTTTTAAAAAAATTTTCCAACCCTTATTGGCTCCAGGAGCACAAAAGTGTGTGATTGATCTTGCTGAGTGTTAGATGGAGAGGTAGTGAACTGATCCATGAACAATGGCTTCTCTGAGTTTGGAGTGATTTCTAAGGCTGTCTGGCCTCTGTTCATTTCCTGTCTTT